TTTAATCCCTCTTGGCATCATAAATGAGAATTTCAGTACTTCTACATCCCAGAGATGCCATGAATATTAAATAAAATAACATAAGAAAATGCCTGACGCAAAAGTGCCCCTTCAGAAATGTTAATGTACTTCCTGCCCTTTCCTCTGCGTTCCTCGCCTTTCAAAGGGAGGTCAAATAAGACCGGTTTTCACACACTGGGACCTATGGCGGGGTAGGGTGCGGGGACAGGGGGAGCATCAGGAAAAACAGCTAATGCATTCTGGGCTTAATTCCTAGGTGATGGGTTGATAGGTACAGCAAACCACTATGGAACACGTTTAGCTATGGGACAAACCGGCACATCCTGCGCATGTACCCCGGAACTTGAAATAATAATAATAAAGACGAGGTTTCCCTCTTTCTGTAGAAGGAAATTAGGACTGTATTAGCTGGTGTCCTGGAAGAGGCTGCTTCCTGAACGTTTCCAATCAAGGAAAGTATAGAGATGGAAAGAGGGAGTCAGGTCATGGTAGAAATCAGGATGCAATAGCAGCAGAAATGCATAGAAAAAGGAGTTTCCTTAGGCTTGGAAATCCGTAGGATAACCAGCGCTCCAGAGCTGTTAGAAATGTGTGTGGTCAAGCCCCAGCAGTCCTTTCTTCTTTATCTTTTATTAATAGGCAACTGCATTTCCCTAAGGGGTCTGTGATTTTGCAGGAATTTGGGGGAGGCTAGATAGCATCAACATCACCGTTGAACCAGCACTGCCCTGATATGCACCAGGCATTGAGCTTGGACCTGGGGATAAACCGGGGAACAAAACAGAGGCGCTTCCACAGAGGTGCGTACTAGGGGCTGCCGGAGCTCTAGCAGAGGTGAAGGAGAAAGCGCGTCCCACGCAGACCCAGGAAACCAGACAGCGTCGCCACTACCAAGTTTAAAAACTCAGACGGCCTGGTTTCCCATCTCCATTGTGTTCCCACTCCAGTCCTTCCAAAGGTGTGAATGGTGCATTATTTAAAGTCCATTCTCTTTATCCTAGAGCGAAAATGCGTGGTACTTGGGTCAGAAACTCAGGCCAGAGGGCTCGGGTCCCCCTGCAGGGTGGGGCGCGGGCAGGCAGTGGGG